CGTATCATAAAAATCCTTTTTTACGCTATTACGTGAGCATGAGTTTATTTTCCATTTTTTCGCCCGTTTTGTGTTTTCACGCGCGTACGAGTGTATTTCGACATGCACTTACATATTTTTTTCTTTTCCAGGACGGCTGGAAAAGGCGATAAAAAGAACGATGAAGTTGCGAGAAACGACAACCTTCATTGTACCTTTTTTTTACTATATTGTACATCATGGTCCCTTATAGTAAGGAAAGACGACCAGACGCTGCTAAACCTAGCAAGCTATCAGAAGAGTGTTTACCAACGAAAAACTCGTTGGGTTTAAACTTCTGGCTAGCCACGTCTTGAGGTCATCACTATCTCACTAGGGGAGAGTGATCTGTGCCGGTAAATAAACCCCCAAAATAAATAGCCCTGTAAGTTTTCGACATTGGTTGCTGACCACAGCTTTAGTGGACTCATCTAGATGAAGGCGCTCGGTCAAGCATCCGCACCAGATCATGTGTGGGAACGCCGTGCTCAACATCTGCCGCGATCGCTATCCAGATTAGTGCAAACGATCCTCGATATATTGATAGCTTATCAAATATATCTCCGATCTCCTCACTTCTGTCTTCTGATCTCACTTGGTGGGTGCATTTCATATTAGTAGGTGTTACTGGTTAAAGCGTTGTCAAACTCCGAATGCCTGTGGCATCTTCAACCTACTTAGTATGAGTATACTGCAAAAATAATTATCAGCCACAGAAGTCGTTTTGCCTTATGCACTTCTTTCAAACGACTCTCAAAATTGTTCCGACTTGTTAATTGTCACGGTGACAATATTATCAAAGATTCGTCCTATATCATGCATCATCGTTGGCATCGTCTTCGTTACTTGAAGAATAAACGGTATCAAACATAGTGTGGCTGAACGGAATTAAAATCTAAAAATGTCTTGATTTGACCGCTTCTGAAAAACATCACGAGTCGTCGAGGTGACGCACTAATCATCATACCACAGTCTGACCTTCGAGTGCTTAGGAACTTCCATCAGTGAACGATACCCCTGAAGTGTTGCCGGGTTTGTTTACCATCAAAACCCCATTTATATGACAATATCTTTAACTTTTTAATCCCGCCTTATTACTACGTAATTCTTCACTTCCTCAGCATCGTTTCAACTCACCTCATTATTTGGATCTACAGTTTTTCACTCTTAATATTCTAGTTCTCTAGTTTAAAGCAGTCAATTACATCTTGGTCAAGTAACTACATGAGTTGATCACACTAAATCACTCAATGCCCATTTAGAAGATGAAGTGATGAATAGTACAAGAACACTGTCAACAAATGTCTCCTATCATACTAACAAAGGACCCAAGTGCCAATGATTTCTCTGATTCCCTCAAATAAGGTCCGACAGTCTGAAAAAAACACTGCTTAATAAATTTGAAGTCGGACTAACCATCACCACCGCTAGAAAGCTCATCGAATTCATAGTGATAAACTTTAATAATATCGAATCGAGATGATTATTAAACAGAAAATGTATTTTACCCATTCTTGAATATGGTATTTTAGTTTACAGTAATTGCAGGCATAAAGACCTGATTAAAATTGAAGGTGTTCAAAGAGGGTTCACCAAAGCTGTTCTGGGATATTCCGACAACAAAGACTATAACCAAAGATATCAACAACTCAAATTAGAACCTCACTGGATCAGACGTATCAAATAAAACCTTGTCTTTATCTACCGACTTATTAACGGTATTTCCTACTCTTCGGTATCCACCCCTTCATACTCCATGATATCATCCCACAATCTACGCAATAAGAAAAATATTCTAGCGATTCCAAGAACCCACACAGACATACGTCATGATTTCTTCGTTGTTCGCTACTCAACTATGTGGAACAAACTGCTAGTGAACCTCCGTCGCAGTGAAACTACAACTCGGTTCAGAAGTCTCCTTGATGATTTTCTTTCCGAAGGTGGATTGTGTCACCTACTGAATATCAATGTATTTAATAATGATTTATACAAACAAGGTCCGTCATCCATCCAATTGACTGAAAAGCAAGATGCAATCCCTGAAACTTTTAACGTCTATTTTACTTTATTTTCTTTCTGTTCATCTTAATATATGAAGTCTGCTTATGTTTGTATCTAAAATTATTACTGTTATTAATATCATTATCGGTCATTCGACACATAAGATATTCTTTTCATCTCTTTTTATCCTTCTGGACATATATTCTTCCTAAATATCCAAAGTCTATAACTAAAAACAAATGATCTCACGATACACTTAAATAAATTAACTTCTCCGATTCATTTTATCTTCAATATATATATATATATATATATATATATATATATAACACATAAAATTTTATGTTTGATTATCTTTTGCGATTAATCTTGATTTTTACAGCATTATTTTTAATTATTATTGCACAAATGTTTATATTAATATCTGATTTAACTCTATATACTATTGCATAATTCTACATGTATTTATTCGAGTGCACTAAAGGTATTTTTTAAGTGTCATTTTTGTAAATTGTTGGTTTACTTTAGAAGACGATATTCATTACACAATTACTATTATTATCATGGTTGAACCCTTTCACTAGATCTTTATTTCTTTTTTCTATCTAAATAAATATTAGTCTTAAGATTACGAAGTTTGTAATCGAAACAATAACTTGTATTACACTTAAATTAACTCCTCAGACTCGTTTTATCTTCACTATGCATATATGACTCATACATATTGATATCTTATTATCCTTTTCACTTAGTTGAGACTCTCAGAGCATCACTCCAAACTATGACTGCCCAAACATTTGTTCTAGCGTCATATTTTACTACGATAACAAGTTTTTTCCCTTAATTGTTTTCTATTTCATTTTTGTTACTAATTTGACGATGCATACATAGTCGTTTATTCTTGTTCTGTGTTCATAAACACACTTATAAAACTATTTGCATATTTCACATCTCCTTTATTTCTATTTCCTTATTTTCTTCCTTTCCTTCTCTAAAATCAATTAAATATTTTTCTCAATTACATAGAACCTGATTTATTATTATTCTATTATAACTACTCTCTTTTTTCAAATATGGCAAATATAATGCTAATATTATTGAAACTTGTGTATTACTGCATTTTTGAAGAAACCCGAAATTGTTTCCTCACAACACTTATGTACCCATAAGATGTTTGTGGATAATAATAATAATAAAACTGTTAACTGAAAACAACCAAAGTTTTTGTAACTGTTATTTTATATAAAGAAGAGAGTGACATGAAATCATGAAAACTGCAACTGCACAGGACTTTCCGTAGTAAACCTGAGCGCTGACTTGGTGTTCCGAGAACTGCAGCACCTAAGAAAATACACTTCTGGCCCAGATTTGGTTCATTCTGCTATACTGAGGGAAGCAGCTTCAATCCTAGCAGCACCGCTTAGCGTGATGTTCTCACACTCGCTCAGCCGAGGCGAATCACTGGGAATTTGGAAGCTGGCCCACATCACACCAATTTTCAAAGGAGGTCGACGCAGCGAACCTCCAGGTTATCGACCAGTGGCTCTTCTCTCCATACCTTAAGAAGCATGGAGTCCCTGATATGCGATGGTATACATGACTATTTACTGTCCTTAAATTTCTTCTCACCCCAACAGTATGGTTTCAGGAAGGGTTACTCCTGTATAACCAACCTGCTGACTGCTGTGGACAGACGGACAAGCATCCTTGACCGTAAGGGAAAGGTTGATATCATTTACCTTGATTTCTCAGAAGCTTTTGACGGGGTCATCAATACATGTCTCATCAATAATCTCAAACGATTGGGCATCAGACCACCTCTAACTGACTGGCTCATTTCAAATCTAAAAAATCGACATTTTAAGGTCAGGGTTACCTTCACTTTATCTCAGGCTATGTAATGTCCCAGTGGTGTCCCCTAGGGCTCATTACTAGGATCTTTTCTCTTCTTGATTCATATAAACGATCTTTCACTACAGCTATCGTCAGACGTATTACTCTTTGCTGATGATGTGAAACTTCGGAGTAAGATACGCAACCAAGGGGATATGCAGGCACTTGAGGAGAATCTGACTCGACTTCAAAGTTGGGCAGACGATAACGGACTTACCTTTAACACGTCAAAGTGTAAAGCAGTCCATCTGCGACATGTTTCATACTGAAGTTATAACCTAAGAAACTGCTCTATAGTAGTATCACGAGTCGAAAAACATTTGATATTCCTGGTGTCCTACGATTTGAAGTCCTACGCTAACTGTGACAAAGATGCCTTTCAAGCAAACCTTGCACTGATAACATTGAAGCGCATTTTTAGTCAGTTTCACGAGAGAACTTTCCACATAATCTTCAACAGTTTTATTCGTCTCCATTTAGAGTACCGAAACATAGCATTCCCTCCTACACTTCAAAAGGACAAGGACACTCTGGAGCGTATCCAACGGCGAGCCACGAAATCAGTCCTGGGACTCAAATTTAAACCTTGTGAAGAGCACTTCCAATCACTGGACCTTTACCCATTAGAGTATAGACGTCTTAGGGGTGACCTTCTAATGACTTACAGTATCCTCAACACTTCTGGACATCCTCTTAAACACCTACTTAAGCTTAGTCCCAACACTAACCTAAGGGATAATCACAGAAATCGGAGATACAACATAGTGGAACGAACTGCAGGCACAACTTCTACTCATTAAGAGTTGTCAAATGCTGGAATTCGCTGCAGGCTAAGCTAGTCCAACCAACTTTCCAGGAGTCCTTTAAGAGGCGACTTGATTTATTCTTAAGGACTAAGGATAGTGTCTTACTATGATTTACCAATGTTTTTTTCTCTTTTATCGTTAATATACCTAAGCTCCTGCCTGGAGGTATTGGTGATCCCATGCTACTAGACACGGAAGCCTGTTAAGCGAAAGCTTCTTCTATTCTGTCCACAACCATTTGAACCATTTGAATACTGGGCAGTCATTGTTAGGTCGCTCAAGCGACCTTCGCACAATATCAAATTAAAACGATGCTAATCTTGCTCGTATTCTCTTTACTCCCCATCGTTTATTGTGAATTTAAATTAAGTGATTCCAAGCTCCTTCTGCCTTACTACAGTGTTAATCCTGTAAATTACACTCTACATGGTAGCGAGGGGGCTTGCTATGAATGGTAAGATGGTTAGTTTTCTTAACACTGTAGGCATTCGGGCACACCGGAGGTAGCAATAGTGAGCCCAGTAGTATCATCTGAGAATGGCTGCTCTTCTGCTGCTGTTATCACTGCGGTTTGGCAATCACGTCACAGGGCTGCGGCCACCATATATGCCAAAATAATTAGTAAATATGTGTACTTTTCAAAACATTTCTAGATGCTGATCACATTGTTAAGTGTGATGTAATCGTTGACGACATACATCGGATCGAAATCGCCACTACCACACAAGAGCTTTATCTCCATAATACACCAGTTTCTCTTGTAGTAACTGCTTATGATGAATATGGCAATACCTTCACGTCACTTGAAGGTGTACCATTTGAGTGGCGTATATTTGAGGACAAATACGAAGAGTTCGGAGACATTCAAGGTGTATTAAGATTTATCACATGGAGGGAGTCGGAATATACAACTCCAAGTACAATGGCTCTACTTGAGTCAAAAGGAATGCAGGTTAGCTAACAACAATATATTGTATTCCTGTAGGGCTACATGCAACTGATAAGTGGTTTGCGTACTGGCTCTGCAGTCGTTAGTGTGGCTCTTCACGAGTCGATTTACAAGAGTGTAGTACCAAGTCAGGTTCGTCTTCTCGTTATGGCAAATGCCCAATTGAGCCCAGCACTAGCCTATCTCGTCCCAAATTCCTTGCTGACATTCACCGTACACGTTATTCAACAAGGTGATGACCAAGGTAAGTATTGTATTGTTGCACATCTGTTCTTTACTGTGCTAATCAGGAGTAATAATGGTAAAATTACATTCCAGCAATTAGTTTCCACTCATAGTCCTGTTATTTTGTCTTTGTGCTTTTACTAATCACCTGAGTCACTGGGCTGTTGTATTGCTCCAGTCTTTAGCTGCGAGTTTCAACGTGGTCTATGTAAATCCATGATCCCTAGCTCTTACACTGCCATCATCTCACCATGTAAAGCAATATAGTTCCTTCATTTAGTCTACGCTTTGGTTTCGTTCTCGTCTGGATTGTTTCATATTTTTGACAGAAATGGCACATTTGAGTGTTGAAAATGTCATTTTCTGATCAGCTGTCTCTGCTGGTATCCTACTTAAGCGTACTTGAACATTTGAACCATGGACGTTTTTCACCTTGTTATTTGGAAACTTTATGCGATGTTATTCCAAGATAAATGTGTAAATACTGACATAATGCGTTCCCAAGGTTTGTAGACCTTTATTTTATTTTATTTCAACACATAGATATTGGTACAACGAGGCACCAAATACATATGCGCCACACAGATCTCATTTGATAAGTGTGAGGGCTGTGATACTGCCCGGGTGCCCAAACCGAAGCAGGTGGTTTTCTTAGGGGGCCACACCGCGAGCCTTCGACCTGAATGTCTGACCCACAAGGCAGTGGAGCATCGTAAGGAGATGCAGTCCTATGGTAGCCGGTGACCAATGATTGGTTCATACGCCATTTGTTCCTTCAGAATACTGGAGCCCATGTGCAATATTGGTTTGGGATCCGGTTAAAGCGCCGGACATTCGCTTTTCGTCCTCTCATTTTCATAAACAACACCCCCGCCACGTGAAGGCAGTGAGTAGGTCTTCCCTGGCAGAGGCTATATACGCGTGGCCATGTGTGAGCATTTTGAGAGGGTGAGCGGACTCTCCCCACTCTCGGCCGTACCAGGGCATTTGGGGGCACCTTTAATTTACGGGACACTTATTTACCATAAAATATGTGGATAGATTCTGTCGTCCTCCTACACATCACTTCTGTGTGTTTGTGTTTTTCTAGCCACATAAACTGTCCTAAAATTGTTCATAATTTAAAAGAACCATAATTAATAATCTTTAGAGATATCACAGGTTCATCTTCAAGTAATTGTTGAATAAGTTTAAGTGACACCCCAAATATAATAAATTTCAAACAACCTGTTCATATATGAAATGTTTTGTACAAGAACTTTCATCATTTATTTAGTTAAATGAGTATAGATTTATATCCCACTCCTCATTTTTCAGAGGTCGCCATGCCATCTCTGCAATACCACTTGCAAGTGAACGACACGAACCTTGCTGTTCTTAGCCCACTTGATGGTTCAACTCTTAAAGCTCTAAATTATGGTCAAACTGAAGTTACACTTCTTGATCGAAGTAAGTTAAATGTTTCAACATTACTCATTTATTCCATGCGTAATATAGTCTACTTGTCTTATTATAACTGAATTAAATTATGCCAAGATGTGAAGTAGCACCTCTCAATCTATTTTACTTTTAAACTAACTTTTATTTACTATTAGATGTCGAAGAAGCCCTAGAAAAATTGGACGAAGTTTTAAATTCCAAAGTCGATGATTCAGATCTTCGTCTGCCAAAACGAAGACGTCCAACTTCACTCATACAGATTGTAGAGCCAGCCTATCTGGGTTTTACACTCATTCAAAAGTCTACTAATAAAAACCCAGATATATGCCAACTGGCTTCATTTTTAAACTCAGGGTCGTATGTTAATCAGGTTGCATCCGGTTCTTATATGCCCATTCGAAAATGGATTATGGAGTCAGGAAAAGTTTATGTTATTAGTTTAGACATATATGATCGTAATAACCACCGTTTATATCCCTCAGACAATCTGCGACTGTCCCTTTATTTTCCAGAAAGCCACTTTGAGGTAAGACTATATGTTTATTCTGATAGTTTTTCTAAGTGTTCTGCTTGTTGATGTACTGGACTAAACTAATCGATTGGTTTGATTTGATATATAGGTTTTTGTTGAGCTGCTTTGGTACTTGTGTTAATAGCATGGCAGTTTTGAATATGGCTATGATGCATATAAGTCCATTCGGAGTCTCACAATGAACAGTATGACATACGTCTACATGATAAGATAAAACGCGACTTTAGTTCTAATGTTACTCACCTATGAAATACTAATAGTGTGTATTACTATTTACATACTATTCTCTGTGTAAATCCCTGGTGAGACAATATACAACAAGAAGGTTTTGGTTTAATTTCTAACTGGATAATCATAAGCCTGGTATTGATACCTTGTAGATTGTATGATGTGATTGTTGACAGGTTCTGCAAATGCGCCACTGTTAATTTCTATAATATCCTACTTCAACTTTGTGACTTATGTTTCAGATCTTAAAATCTTCGTTAAATCAAACTTATGTCGTTGTTCGAGCTTTTTCATCTGGTTCAGTGTCTCTCAAAGCTGTCTTAAGAGGTGTCGTAGATCAGGTACGTTCACTTGATTTGCAATAATTGAGGCGCAATATTTTGTATCCATTCCGTTTATAAAATTCATTTCCCTAAATGATTTTTTAATAATCACAGCGGTCACTTGTTCATTCATAAGATAATAATACATCTGTTGCTGATGTTCGGTTTTACTAAAGATATCTATTTGTTGATGATTTTCACTTCACAATTTTTGGTCTTAAGTTTGTGAATTATATTGTTTTCAATTCAGATTTCTTCCCAGTAGTGGGAAGATGTCATCTCCAAAGACACCGATAATTTATGCGAAACATTTTACGACCAGTAAATCTCTAAACGATCAATATGAACTTGGTTTTCTAATCTAAGACTTACATTTTTTTATCTTTATCGTATCTGTAGGATTTCAGGAAGAAAAAGTTCTATCTAGTGTAATCCGTTTAAGTTGCCTCTCATTTTCATAAACAACACCCCCGCCACGTGAAGGCAGTGAGTAGGTCTTCCCTGGCAGAGGCTATATACGCGTGGCCATGTGTGAGCATTTTGAGAGGGTGAGCGGACTCTCCCCACTCTCGGCCGTACCAGGGCATTTGGGGGCACCTTTGATTTACGGGACACTTATTTACCATAAAATATGTGGATAGATTCTGTCGTCCTCCTACACATCACTTCTGTGTGTTTGTGTCGTAGATCAGGTACGTTCACTTGATTTGCAATAATTGAGGCGCAATATTTTGTATCCATTCCGTTTATAAAATTCATTTCCCTAAATGATTTTTTAATAATCACAGCGGTCACTTGTTCATTCATAAGATAATAATACATCTGTTGCTGATGTTCGGTTTTACTAAAGATATCTATTTGTTGATGATTTTCACTTCACAATTTTTGGTCTTAAGTTTGTGAATTATATTGTTTTCAATTCAGATTTCTTCCCAGTAGTGGGAAGATGTCATCTCCAAAGACACCGATAATTTATGCGAAACATTTTACGACCAGTAAATCTCTAAACGATCAATATGAACTTGGTTTTCTAATCTAAGACTTACATTTTTTTATCTTTATCGTATCTGTAGGATTTCAGGAAGAAAAAGTTCTATCTAGTGTAATCCGTTTAAGTTGCCACTAAAGCCCAGTTCGACCACGCCAAAGAGCTAATCACTGTCGGAAATGACATTAGGAGTCATCTTACCATTCAGCCTGTGAATATAGGTTCGTATACTAGATTTTGACGTTCCACCATTATGTGGGAACTAGTATTACTACTTGAGTGTATAAACCTCAGTGAGTGGAGCAGAACTGAGTTCGAACTGGTGACCGATTCTTGTTCATGGAGAACCATCATCTTACTATTTTTCTCCACAAAAGATCCTACAACTACTGCAAATAAAATCTATTTAGTATACCAAGTGTTTTCACAGGAAACAACAGTTTTATAACTGTATCCATCTCAAAAAAGTTTTCCTAGTATCAATTCCTCTAATTTTCGTAAATAAGTGCACATAAATAAATTAAAGTGATTTCGGTTTACCATACGTAAACATATTCGGTTGTTATATGGTTGGTTAAGATGCATTAAAAATTATGAATAAACTGATACATTTTCAAGGATCTATGGGATATCAGTTAAATAAATATTTCTACTAGCTTCAAAAGTAATCTTTTTCCGGATTTGAGATGAATCACTTCTAACAAGGATTTAATTTACAGATAGATAGTAGGTGTGAATGTACTTTCATAGTTTTCACTTATTAATTTTACCATTGTCTCTGTTCTCACCACGATTACAACTAATTTTTTTTCACAAACTGTTTACACTAATCTGGAAAAAATATGGTCAAACCTACTTACGTATTTCACTGCCTTTGAATAATTTCCTAACCATCATTATAGAAACGCAACCACCGATTATCATTTTGAGAACCGCGATTCATACATAATTCCGGTTCTTAAATAGATTTACTTTTAAGACAAATGAAGCATTCAATAAAAGTTATTACTTTTGTCGTTACTGTGAAATAGACAGTGGTGTAAGTGCCCTGTTCTGTTTGCTTATTTTTTTATAAGGACGGAAATGTTGTGGAATTCAATTCAACCATAACCGGCAATCAAGATGTGACCATTTACTCTCCTATCAAAATCCATCCAACACCAGTCATTTTGCCGTGGTCTACAGAACTACTATCGTCTAACCTCACACATTCTAATCCTGGTTACCATCTACGAGCTAACGGAGGATGTGGACAATATAGATGGACAGCTTTATCTCTCCGCGCGTTAGAACGTCATTCTGATCCAGGCAAATTACCGAACCCTGAACTACTGACTAACACAGTCGTGTCCATTACTAAAACAGGAGTTATATCAGCTCTAGTAAGCTTACTTTTATACGTTGCATGATTTGCATGTTACAACTTGTATCATGTTTGTATTACATTCTTCTAAAGATTATTTTATAGAAATCAATTTGTTATTGTGTGACTAGTTAGCAAATTCAATCTTCTCACTCAATAATTTGCAGTACTTTATATTCTTATTTGAAAGGTTACTTTTTTATTGTTATCGTTTATAATCAGTGCGAAACAGTGTAGCTTTGAATTTGCTACAATTGTGTAAATGACACATTTAACTAAACGGGTCACATAGCTTAGTAAATAAATAGGTGTATTCGATTTTTATTCACTATGTTGTAGGCTTCAGTTTCACTTCACATACTTTCTCTAAAACATCAAAAATATTGTTGTTTGCATACGATAGACGTTGTACACAGGACGTCCGATTAAAAAAATTATTGGTTGAATACGAGTTCTGTAAATTCAGTGTGCTTAGAAACTATAACTTCTAGGCATAAGTAGTAGTTAATGCATGATAAAAACGGTTAAATAGTGTTTTTGAGTCTCATAATAATACTTTTTGATTAAACCACATTCTAGAATCCCGGTGAATCTATCATAGTTGCATCTAGCTCTTCGAATCCTCAACTTTGTGGACATACTCTAGTTTATGTGCGTCCACCTTCTGAAATAAAATTTGTATATGAACGCAATGAAGTTCTAATTCCACCTCGACGTAATGCTAAGTTTATCGACGAAGAATTAACGAGAAATTATCCAAATCAACCAACAAATGAGGAATGGAGTATACAAGATCCCTCTGCCGTAGAATTCGACTTGGAACGTTTAGCAATAGGATTAGCTGTTCTTGATTCTGATGGTCAAAGTATGACGGATTGCAGAAATTTAAACATTGAAATTCGTGCAGTCGACTCTAATGTTGTGAAGATCATTCCAGGTAAGTTAGTTCGATGGTAGAATTCGCTCCTACCAGACCAAGACAAATATTAGTTTTTTCAAAATTCACTGAAAATAATTTTTTAAAATTAAATTTGCCTTTAATAGCGTCATTTAACGATTTATCATATGAGGAATATTAAGATTTCTTTTTTTCTTCTTGGTGTTTTAAGAACTGTTATTAATCCAGTTGTGCTAACCTTAATATTCATGAAAAAAAGATAATTCATCAATTATATATCCGTGTACACAGTTTCAAGTCATTTTTTCATGTGAAGGTTAATGATGCTGCTCAACTATCCAAACCTTAATAAATGGGACAAGGTCCAAAGTACAGTTTAGTAGTTGAGAATCAAGTGATTTGTCCAATCTCTAAGCAACTGATCCACAGGCATCCTCAGTCAACAAACCACGAATAAAGGTAGAAAATCATAAAATACCCATCATAATTTCTTTGCTTTCTTGGATCGATAATTATATGTTCGATGGGAATGGCTATGTTTTGAAGTATATTACTAGGTATATCTTTGCCAAATCCTTCCAAAATATTTCGAGTTATCTTATCTGTAGCTGAGTAAACTGGTATAAAAAAACGTGACCACCAGCCAAAAGAATAGGTTTTTAATAAAATAAATGATTGAATGCCATAAAGGGTTTTAAGTTATCAGTTTTGTTAGCCACTCCCCAACGAATGAAACACTTGACTGTTAAGCATAATTCAAGAGTCTAATAGATTAGTTCGTAAGTTTATACTAGGAAACTTTTATGCAGTAGGCAGAAGTGAAACTGACTGAATAAGAAAGTATTAAAATGGACAGTTAACATAAATCATCAGTTCTAAGTAGAATGAAAGGACAGAAGAACACAAACAAAGTAGATATTGGCAGGAATGTATACTGGTCAAAATTGACACTATATCCTCAACACACTAAAAGGTAAATAGTTGAAAGTAACAACAATGCAGTATTAGAGAAAAACTGAAAATATGAAGCGTAAGTGCAAAGAAACTAATAAAGTCTGGAATTATTTTTGACATAAAATAGATAGTCCTGTATTATATATTTATCTGGGGTGGTAGTATTTAACGTATATTAGGGCCTCTACTATTAGTTTTTGTCTACTTTGTAAAATATTGCTTTATTAATCCTTGTGTTTCAGTTGAGACATATGTATGTTTCTCTGTTCTTTATAATTTATTCCTCATAAATTTATTTTGTGTAGTAATCTCTTTTCACTGGATTGAAATTGTACAGGTTTTCATGCTCCACGACTTAACTCATCTACTGAATATGGATTATTTGATTCTAACGAATGCTTACATTTTTATGTGATCGGAGTTAACGTTGGTTTCACTGAAATTAAAGCAATTTACAATTCATCACCAGTTAACAAATTTGATGAATCCGTTGTAATTGTTTCACGTGTTCATGTTGCCGCATATCGTAAAATCAGTTTTATTGATCCTGTTTCTGAAATAACTCCTGTTGCAATAGGTTCAACTCGAAATATGCTAGTAAGTATAGAAAATTAGTATTCGATTCAATAAATATATTCTGCTGATCACAAATTACTTGATTAATAGTGTTAGTCCAATAAGAAGCGATTTATTTGACTTTCAAGCAGTTGTTGATTAGACATTTGACCTCTAATCCATTTCCTTCAATTTAAATCAATAGGTAGTGTCACTAACCCCCATACAAAATAAGTATGGTATAAAGTCTAGTATTGTATTCAATAGCCTAGTAATCTAATCATTATAGTGATTATTTTTCTTTTCTATTTTATCAATGTTCATTATTAGGTAAAATCTTGCAATGCTAAATAATTAACTCTTGTTTTATATAAACTGTTCTTGATTTTAAAAAGCTTTTTCAACCACATAATATTTATTATTTAAGGCAGTGTTATTATTATTAAGGATTTTATTCAGTATTATATTTTTGGTACAATATGGAATTCTCAGCACAAAGTATTTCAACATGTTTTCTTTTCTTATTTTTTGATCAATCCTGACGATAAGTATTAAGTGATAGCCAGTTAGATGTTAGCAGTTCAGGAATCGACATCCCATTAATGTTCATTCTTTAATAGACATAATGATATGTTAAGACAAACAAAAACAAATAACTTGTTGAAATATCTAGATGGCCCATGATACTGTCCGGGTACCCAGACCGAAACAAGTGGTTCCTTAGGGGGCCACACCCGGAGCATTCGACCTAAAGTTCTGATCTACAAGGCAGTGGATCAACGTCAGGAGACTCAGTCTCATGGTAGCCAGTGACCAACGATGGGTTCATACACCAGTTATCTTTTCAGGATCCTGAAGTCCATGTACACCATTGGTTCGGAATCACGGTTTTCCAACTACCCTAGGTGGATCCCCTATATCCACCAACCCGGTTAAAGCGTCGGACATTCGCTTTGCATCCTCATAATTTAGTAAACAACACCCCTCCGCGAGAAGGCAGTGAGTAGGACTTCCCTGGCAGTGGTTGTATACGCGTGGTCATGTGAGAGCGTTTTGAGAGGGAGAGAGGACTCTCCCCACCTTTGGTCGAACCAGGGCATTTAGGGGTATTCTGTATAGTAATAAATATATAAAATGATAAATATTACATGATAACGATTGTAGATCTAATATTTTATCCTCTTTATATAAAATACATAAATTATTTTGTAAAATCAACGAAAAACTTCCATAAAATTAGATAAGTCATGTAAGATGATCCGAAAAAACGTTTTCGAGGATTTCTAGTAGAATTGTCACTGAAATAAATGCTTTAGTTGAGTATTTTTCTAAATTTCTGGTTAACTTCACTAAATAATTTCAAAGTGTGAATGTTTTCTTTAGAGTTCACTTTTATCTGCTACATCGTTATTAATATGTAGAAGGTTGAACAGACTAGATTCACTGATGATGACTAACTTTGAAAAGAATTAACGAAGTTCTATTGGAAAATTGTATGACCGGGGAATTTTAACTATTTCTTTTTTATCCATGCCCTTGAAATCAAAGCGAAGTGATTCTCCTCACTTGGAATTGTACAATTTACACGTTTGTCTGCTGTATAGGTAAAACATACCAACACCGCGACACATGATTAGATTTTCATTATCCTATATTTTCTGCACTCTGTAATAATCAAACACAAGAAAGTCCATTGATGTATGATGTGATTTGTTGACGTTTAACTTATATACATCATATTTTGATGTAATTATTTCATTATCCCATAATGATTAATATTATTGATCCTAGGTTACACATGGACCACAACCATGGCCTTTACAACCATCAGAACATTATGTCAACGTTTCTCCTCAACCCGACGCAGATAACGATATTTCATCACTTCCAACATTGATTAGTGAACCACATTTCTCTAAAACGGTTTATCAAAAGACTAACTTTGACAATGAAGCTAAACCAATTCAAAGTTATGTGGACCAAGTTGAAGGTCATGTTCGCTTGGTTTCATTTAGCCTTCGTTGTGAAAGTATTGGGATGTTTGAGTTTGTGATTGAAATTGGAAATCGTCCCACCCCCTCTAATCTACATCCCATGGTTCTGTCATCCAAGTTCACGTAAGCTTTTGTTTTTCGCTGTATGATATGATTTCGATGGGCTGTCGATGATTATATTTATTGTATATATCCATGTACTTCAGTCTAGTATATCTATTTATCAATAGCTCTATAGTAAAAAAATTAGATAAATGATCAGTGTGATTTTAACGACCGTATTTCATTTCACTTGTAATAAATTTCCTAATTTCTTTTTTAAAAATTTGATTTTCTCAGAATTATGTGCGATGTCGCGGTCAGTCTACAGTTACTACCTGTTTTCCAGTTTCCTTCACTACCTCCACACTTTCCACCTTGCCCATTGGTTAACATATCTTCCAATGACTGGTCTCATGATAAAGTAAACTATCCATACATTTCGTTTTTCTTATTACACTTGTAGTATATATATATATATATATATATATATATATATATATATATATATATATATATATATATATATATAGGATTGTTGATGAATCTCTTAATAGGCTCTTTTAGAAAAATTAAAGGAGAATTTGTGTAATTACTGTGAGTGCAAACGTTTATTTCATTGACATGACTGTGGCGAATATGGGTTGGTTTAGAGTGTACATTATCTATCTAATTATTTCAGTGATAATTTTAAAAGTTGTACTTGGCATGCTTTCAAATCGAATGTTTATCGACTGATTATATTTACAATGGAAAAATTACTCAGTCAGTAACAACGTAGAACTTCGTACGTACTTACATCAGTTCGAGTCGCCATAGCACATTAGCACAGAGATGCAGTTGTCGATTCAAATCCCATAGTAGTAGAGGTAGTAAGAGTATAAGCAGTAATCAGAAAGATTAGGGTTTGTGGATGTTATTCAAGGAGTATAATCCAGCGAAATAAATTTGGAAAGAGAAAAAAAGTGACAAGGAGATAACAATTCGGAATAACTTGTATAGAAAGTCGCTTATGTTAACACATAGAGTAACAGAATTAGAAACTTTTTGTTTGTAATTAATCTACTCTACTTCATGAACCAGTCCTTTAACACTTCGATCAATGTGACTTTCAATTACTTTCAAGGTTAGATTTATACGCTTTACTGATGAGTGTCAACTAACATAAGACGTAGGACTCACAACCCCTTGTTGATTATATCGAAATATATCAGACATACCTCTATTGTGATGTCAAGTGACCACCATTCAAATTGATAAATAGAATTCGATCAATGTTAAGGATTAGACTAACATAGAATCGGTTAATACTCAATGATCCATTAATACATGTGTTGTATGCGTTTTATTTGTCATTTAAGTTAAACGGCTAGATAAAAAAACAATCATCACTTGATAATTCATATCTTATCCATGCATTATGGTTGATTTTCTTCTCTTATTTTCGTCAATCATTTCAGTTAATTTTACCGAATACAATCCCAACTGTTATTCACTTAATTTTCTTTGGATCAGAAAGTCAAGAATTAGAATCAGTTGATTCACTTATATCTAATGTGGTTATTTCTTCAATTGATGATGATAGGGGAACTACAGAGAAATTACAATTAGTTCAATATGTGAATCCTCCTGTACAGATGGATTATTCAGATTAGTAAGCTCTATCAAAATTCTTTCTGATCATAATTTTCCTGGATACAAATGCGAGAACCAGGATATAATAAATCTTATATCTTTTCTTGTTACCTCTCTCTCTCTCTCTCTCTCTCTCTCTCTCTCTATATATATATATATATATATATATATATATATATATATATATATAGTTCCAACCAAAACAGCTGGTGAAACCTACTGGGGAGACCTAGTGGTTTTTCTGGAACGGATTCCTTTTTTTCGAGGCTCACAAACCCACCGCGTAAATGCGGTTTAGTGGGGACCGCAGCCTCACGGGTCTTTGCATGCATAATGGTATCGCACCAAAAGAACGAGTAAAGAAGTTTGCGAATTTACTTGCCCTGGACATGTATAGTCTACTCGCATACTGGTTAATACACGAACTTTGATCCGAGTATCCTTTGACATACATGCACGTACGCGTACCCTGTGAGCAAATATACGTTACATACATACCGGTAACATACAAATTTTGCCCCATGCATCCCATAGCATACATATAGGTATATTCACACACCTGGGAGGGTAGATATTCACCAAATCAAAGAAAACGTATTTCCTACACCAGACTGACTCGTACACATTATATAAACATCATTCACACCATGGCTAGCGCCCCAGTATTTTCTGACACACACATAAACATAAGCGCTCTCAGGGGAGGTTGTTGGTCGTCCCACTGTAGTATTTGCCACCACCTCTTTTCATTGTGTATTTGACCTGATGGATAGGCCGCTGATTTTATTAGACATAGGGCAGACATTTTTGCAGCTTAACGTTTCCTTCGTACGACACCGCATGCGTACCCTTTTCATGTACCTATATACTTGAACTACATAGGTCCGAGAACTTCTGCGATTCTCATACATAAGCATACACATCGGGTAGCCCAAACGGTAAACTGAGCCCTGAGTTTAGAACTCAGGTTGATCAGATACAACAGAGTGGGTGGTCGGTCCGATCTCTGTAACCTCCTAGGTCGGCTAGTAGGGTTGCCCCACGATCCAGCAGCTCCACGAGGCCTTAAGTCGGATTTTGCTGCCATATATATATATATATATATATATATATATATATATATATATATATATATATCACAGTTTTAGCCTATAAGTAATTCTATTAAACAGTCTAACTTCTAGGTCTGGTTACCTTGTGCTTTAAAAATAAACGTCATAGGATCTTAGCCATTCTAAAGAATTCATTTATGTTTATCCATTTGTACTAAATTATATCACTTTATTTTATGCACCCTCTACGGAAAATGTTCCAAACAATGTTTCAATCAAAACGTTTCGTTTCGCTGATAAGTGAAGCTAATTTTGATTATTTTTCTATCTTGCTCTTTTTTCAGCGATAAAAGATCTTCCAATCGTCCTATGCATTCGCGGCCTTATTTTTTAATTACACCAACCAACTTTGGTCATTCTTCTGGTAGTCTTGCGGTTCATGTTACAGTTCATTCAAGCTTACCTAACAGATATAATCCATTTTTACATGGTATTCAGAGCCTAAAGTCTATTTTAAATATATATTTGAGTCCAGTGATAAACGCGGTTCCCAGTCAATTAATTAAGTTGTTTTATCATCCAGAGGTAATTTCCAATTATTTTTTTCTTTGTGATTCCTTTTCCGATAAAGTGAGATATTAACACGTTTTCAACTTATCTGTAATTTAGTTTACTAAATTATGTGAATTTTTCAGCTATGCGATTCAATATTTTTATTTCATATTTACGTATATATGAATGTTGTTTTTTCATCCCAGGCTTCATCTACTGTGCATATCCACGGTGGATCCGGCTATTACTACCTGGACAATTCAGACAATTTAACAGATCGACATCACTATCCGATTCGTATATCTGAGAAATTGAATAAACCAATTATGGCAACCAATACTATACCGTATATCATGCGGAGACGGACTTACGAAATACAACCCAAACATGTTGGTCGTGTAACAATTCAAGCAATTGACTTATGCTTTCCATCAACAAAATTAAACCCACCAAATGAATATAATCTTAATCCATCACAAGCTGAATTTAATGTAGATGTAATTGGTCTTAGTGTATTAAATCTTCGAGTTCATAATCAAATCCAACTTGGTGATGAGGTTGGTCTAATTCTGTGTTTTGTTTGTTTATTATTTATTAGTAATTTTATAAAATTTAATTAAAATATGTCAACCTGTTTCGGTTTGGGCGCCTGGGTAGTATCCCAGCCCTCATACAAATCGATTGATTTATGTGGCGCATATCTATTTGGTGCTTTCTTGTACCAATGTTTATGTGTTTAAATAAATAATAAATGTAAAATAAAATAACAAACTAAATTTAATAGTATTTTCTAAAGTGTCCACTGTTCATTGAAATACTAAAAAAAACTACTTCTAAATTATGGGTGACTCTTTATTTTAATCGTTTGTTAGTGGTGATGTTGTTGTTGTTGTTGTCAATTATTTCATAGGACTAATTATATTACGTCATCAAGTGTATTAAAAATTAGCTAAAAACAAACATATCTGTATAAGTGTTATATTATGTTTAAAGTTTCAGAATGTTTTAAATAAATAAATGAAAGAAATTATATAATCAAGAATTTACATAAATGTATTATTTTCTTCAATCTAGTCTACATTAATTATGCATAGCATAATAGAATAGAATTTAACACAAATGTAAGTATCAGTTCTAGTTTTGAATGTAGATTGTTCGGCTAAATTTCACAAATTACAGTTTCATATTTTATATCCTAAAATTGTTTATATTACTTACTTACTTACACCTGTTACTCACAATGGAGCATAAGCCGCCGACCAGCATTCTACAACCCACTCTGTCTTGGGCCTTCTTTTCTAGTTCCATCCGATTCTTGTTCATTCTTCTCATATCTGTTTCCATTTCTCGCCGTAATGTGTTCTTGGGTCTTCCTCTTCTCCTTTATCTAGCCTTGAGGATTCCATGTGAGGGCTTGTCTTGTGACGCAGTTGGGTGCTTTCCTCAATGTGCGTCCTATCCACTTCCAGCGCTTCTCGATTCCTTCCTCCTCTGAAATCTGGTTTGTTCTCTCCCACAGTAGGTTATTGCTGATAGTGTCTGGCCAACGGATCCGAAGTATTTTGCATAGACAACTGTTAATAAACACCTGTATCTTCTGGATGATGTCTTTCGTAGTTCTCCAAGATTTTGTACCATACAGTAGGACCGTCTTGATATTTGTATTGAAAATTCTGACCTTGGTGTTAGTTGACAGTTGTTTTGAGTTCCAGATGTTCTTCAGTTGTAAATATGCTGCTCTTGCTTTTCCGATCCGCGCGTTCACATCTGCATCAGATCCACCGTGTTCATCAATGATGCTGCCCAAATATTTAAAGGTTTGTACATCTTCCAAATCCTCTCCGTCAATTGTGTTGTACCGGAGAATCTTGCTTTTCCCTTTGTGTATGTTGAGTCCTAATGCTGCTGCTACATTGGTTGTCTTCTTCTGCATTTGTTGTTGTGTGTGCGATAGAAGAGCCAGATCATCTGCGATGTATAGATCGTCCAACTGCATCCTAGCTGTCCACTGTATCCCATGCTTTCCCTTAGATGTTGACGTTTTCATGATCCAGTCGATCACCAGGAGAAATACGAATGGTGAGAGTAAGCAACCTTGCCTGACACCGGTCTTTACCTCGAACGACTTTGTCAACTGTCCTCCATGAACGATTTTACAGTTTAATCCACCGTAGCAGTTCCGTTTGATATTGACTATCTTCTCATGTACGCCGTAGTGTCGAAGAAGCTTCCATAGGGTTGGTCTGTCCACGCTGTCAAATTCTTTTTCTTAGTCAATGAAGTTGATGTAGAGTGATGAATTACATTCAATTGCTTGTTCCACAATTATCCGTAGAGTTGCGATTTGGTCTGTGCACGATCTATCCTTACGGAATCCTGCCTGTTGGTCTCGAAGTTGGGCGTCTACACAGTCCTTCATCCTGTTTAACAATACCCTGTTGAAGACTTTTCCTGGTATTGAAAGAAGAGTGATTCCCCTGTAGTTGTCACAGTTGCTGAGATCGCCTTTCTTTGGTATTTTGACTAGAAGTCCTTCTTTCCAGTCTTTTGGTACCTGTTCCTCATCCCAAATCTTTCTGAAGAGAATGTGGAGTATTCTTGCAGTTACCGCGCCTCTGCTGGAATGTTGTCTCTCCCTCTCAAAACGCTCTCACATGACCACGCGTATACAACCACTGCCAGGGAAGTCCTACTCACTGCCTTCTCGCGGAGGGGTGTTGTTTACTAAATTATGAGGATGCAAAGCGAATGTCCGACGCTTTAACCGGGTTGGTGGATATAGGGGATCCACCTAGGGTAGTTGGAAAACCGTGATTCCGAACCAATGGTGTACATGGACTTCAGGATCCTGAAAAGATAACTGGTGTATGAACCCATCGTTGGTCACTGGCTACCATGAGACTGAGTCTCCTGACGTTGATCCACTGCCTTGTAGATCAGAACTTTAGGTCGAATGCTCCGGGTGTGGCCCCCTAAGGAACCACTTGTTTCGGTCTGGGTACCCGGACAGTATCATAGCTCACACACAAATCAAGTGGTTTGTGTCGCACATATGTATTCGGTGCACTTTTTGTACCAATATTCATGTGTTCAAATAAACATGATGTAATATAGAAAATTATGATATTCCTGTTTAATGGATAGTAAAAACGTTTCATTAAATTGTTTGTATAATCAGCTTACACTATTCAACCATGTGTTCAGATCTATTTGATACATATGTGCGATAACCTATGATTCCTAACTTCGACTTCAATGACAATGAATATGATGACTTCCTATACTTTTTCTCCTTGTTCTCTAATCAGCTGTAAAATCCAACCTTTGTTTAGGTTTATTTTACCAATAATAATGAAGATTACCTAGGCAAAAAATGAAACATTTATTTAATATAAATTACAAAGCAGATGATTCTTAGACTTTATTGTGGTGATTCGCCATTTCCTACATTATTGAACTCGATTCGGTCTGTGCAGCCTTTACAAAGCAGATACATTCGCTTACATACAATTTCATCATGATATTAATTATTTTTAATAAATAAATCGACATTGACTCTAAAAGTGGTCAACATCTAAATTATATCTTAAAAATTGATTTTTTAACAAATGATCAGCGTTTTATTATTGTTCTCCTAATCTAGGTTACTGCTTTTATAGAAGCCATAGGTACAGATGGAATTACATTACCATCAAAGTTTGCACGTTTACTGAAGTTGTCAATCATCAGTGACCATGTCACTCATTCCACATCTACTGGTCATAAAGAATCAACACATGACTCAAAAAGAATACTTAGCGTACCGGAAACTAATGTTCCTTCAGATTCATTCTGGATTTGTGATTCATCAAATGCTGAAGAACCTTGTTCTGGTCAATTTACAGTTCGAGGCATTGCTCTTGGTACTTCTAGACTAATGGTAACGTCGATAGTACCCGGTTTATTACAAAATAAAGCGATTACTGTTCAAAGTAATGTTGTTGAGATTCAGGTAAGCTCAAAAGAATGTCATACTATTTTTAAATTCGCTTTTAAAACTAAACGTTCATTATGTTCTCTGTTTCTTTTTTCATCTTAGGTGTTTGCACCCTTACGTTTGACTCCATGTAACTTCAATCTTCTTCTAGGAGCGGAATACGAGCTTCATGCAGTGGGTGGTCCTAGTCAGGCTTCCTTGGAATTTATTCCTGAGTCTATCACAAGTCGTATAACAATTGTTAAGACAAACCCTTCCAGTGTCTTAATACGTGCATCTGAATCCTTAGGTCTGGCAAATATTCGTGCTCGTGCAGTAGGTATGACAGGGAATAGACCTTCAAGTTTAGATGAAAAGCATGGAGATTATGTCATCTATTCAGAGGTATGTAATACTTTGAATATGTAAAATCATTGATAAAGTTATAAATTACTAAGTCTTTAATTGAACAACATAAAAATTTCTTTTCCAGACAGTTTGCAACATTCATATTGTGGCATTGTCTGGTGTGCGAATTAGATGCCCACTTGCTAACTTGGATGAAATTACTTCTCAAATCTCTGATTCTTCCAATGCTCATTTCCCAGAATTAACTAATTCAGATAGGTCTGATCAACATTTTCTCCTTGCATGCCCTCCTGGGCGCTCTGGTGATTGTGGTTCAACACCGTTATGGGTTGAAGGTACACCATACAGTCCTTATTATTCTGAAGACCAGTCAAGATCGAATATTGTTTCTCCTTTGGGAATGGCTGCTGTCAATCCTCCATTACGCTATCGTTGGCATTTGAATCCACCTGAACCTAACTCTATTGTTCGTTTAGAGTATTGGCTTGATGGATTCGGTGTTAATGTGAATGAAGTAAGCATTATATCCCAACATGAAATAATTGATATACTGTTATTCTTTTAATCCAAAAAGTATATGTAATTACATCATCTTAGTATGAATTTCGATGATGGATGCCTTAACAAGCCATAAATTTTTATAGTTTCTCATTTTATTAATTGATACGAATTTCGACATTTGCCGTTGATAGATTCCAATTCTTTGCATGTCTTACGAAATATGTTATATTTGATAAAATAAAAGTTTAATAATAAAAAAGCGATTGTTAGGACAATTGGTACTGAGCATTTGCACTTCTAGACATTAATGGGAAGATTCAAGTGAACAATACCAAGTAAGTTTAAACTTCACCCCATTGCACAAGCAAGTAGTTATCAGGACTCAGTAATTAAGTAGATAACACGGTGGGGTTTGAAGCGAACGGTACTGGGTTCGAGTCCTGGGGTGGGCACCAGATGATGAGTCCTAAGTAGAACGAAACACACGTCTTGGATTCTACTGTTAGTCACCATCCATCATTGCTTCTAATATAACAATGCTACTGAGATACTTAACACAGATTTGTACATGGTTGTGTCCATGATTTGTATCGAGGTTTACATGAAATTGAACTTTCTCCAAAAATACAGCAACTGACAGAGAAACAATATCAGTTGTTTAGAACAGAGTTCAAAATATTGCATTGTCAACATGTGAAAAGAAGTTGTATCAAACCTAAGAACAAACTCCTTACTCAAGTCAATATTTTACACCATTGAGCTCAATGAAATGACTTGGAGAAATCATATGCTAATTTAAATCCATAATATGTTAATAAAATTTGTTGTATGAGAGTGAATGCCAACACTATGTGTATAAACCTTTTTAGGTGGGAATATGCAGGAAAACTGTAACCTCGTGATTAGATGTCGATTGTTTACACCACTAAACTTAAAGTTCAAGTATTACTGTTGCACGATGGCAATTTGAGTAACAGTCTTAACACGAACAGTATAGATTTGCTCTCAAAAAATGTTTGTCTAATATGTACCTGAATAGTCACTTAGTCAGTCAGTCACAATGTAGAACCCGTACGTATATACATCGGTTCAAGTTACCATTCCCAATCAGCACAGAGTTATCAGGCCAAATCCCAAAATAGTAGAGGTAACAGTATCAGTGGTAATGGAAGATTAGCTATCGAAGATACGACTCGAGAAGATAACACAAATTAGTGAAATAATAAAAAACTGAATGAGGGATTTAGAACCTCGGAATTTGAAAGACAAAGAATGTATGCACCTGCCCCATTGTAAACGATTTTAGCCAAGTCATTCAAAGTCTGTAACCATTGCTTACGATAATCACGCGGACCCCAACCAGGTAGTTTGTATCTATTAACATAGCTCAGTTCAATTGTCACTGATGTCATGTTTTGGTTTGATCACTCCTAGCTTTACTCTTGCACCAGAAAACATTGTCCGTTGAGGTAGGCGATTTTTTGGGAATACGTCCCAACCACCTCAGTTGATGAAGATTTACTGCCGCATCAATCGATTTACCGTCTTTACCTAGTACTCTATCTCTACCTGAATGATTTGTTTTAAATACACAATCTCCAGTACATACTTAGTTTTAATGTATTCTGACACTTTAGTTCATAGTAATAAAGCCACTGATCTAGAACCATATACATTTTCCACCTTTTTTAATAGATCTTTTTGTTATTGTCAAATTTTGCTATCTAACATCCTTTCTTCTTCACCACTTAGACTCATTTAGCATCTGGGATGGTTCTTGTCGGTCTGAAACCTGGTACTGTAACTGTTCATTTGACTGTTGAACCTGTAGAACCTTATGCAAAACAAATAATTGCTGTATCTACTGACGGTGTGTCGACTGACCGCTTACATGCTCAACTAACAATTGTTGTTTTATCACGGCTTGGACTGAGTTCACCACATCGGGAACCTCAACAAATAATTCTATCGCCGAATTCCCAATTGAATTTGATTCCTTGGACTGATTTGTAAGTCTTTTTGTAAAGAAGTATATATGTTTCTCTTTATTATAACATACCTCAATAACTCGGACTAAATCCACGTTCCATTACATGAACTACTTCCACAGCTCAGAGATTTAGAAGAGTTAACTCAAAACAATACTAGTAAAAATTAATAGCGGTCAATTATCATATCTAAAGATTGCTTCAATGACAATGCTGACGACTCTTCCTTTAACAATGGTAAATATCATCAGTCATTTACCTTCAAGTTTAACACTTATTTTTAATATCTTGCAAACTTGCTCAATTGTTTATCGAACAAATTATGACGTTTGTTAATGTAGTTACTTAGGTGCATAAACTCTAATAACTTCCGGATTATCTTCATCTCAAGTCGCTTGATATCACAAAGCCTATTACACACAAATGATCTTTTTAATCTTAAAAATTATTTGCATTCTGAATATAGCTTATATATAAAATAAGGTAATGTTTTCTGTTCTCTATAAACTGCAGAGATCCTTTGGTACAACAGATCACCATGATATTTTTGATTCAAAATGAATCAGTAATATGTTGAGGAATAAGAAGAGAAAAATTCATGATATTATCATAAATAAGAAATACTAGAGAATTTAGTTCACGCAATTTAGAATATTTATTCAGTCTAAAGGTATTTCCTACTATTTATGTAAAATACGATTAAAAATTGTCTTACAATCCCCACTTGGTTCTATTCTGAACTATGTATGATCATACTGTAAACCATCAGGTCGCATATTCTTATAGACCAAACATAGTGGATCTGGATGAATCCGAAGGATATTTACCATCTTGAATTATCCATCTTTCTACTGCATCATTTTACAAACTGTTCTAGTTACTTTTCTCACTTACCCAATATGTAACACACTTTGCAGAAATCGACGGAATAATGTGATGGAACGTGCGTACCCCACGTAACACATGTAAAGTTATGATCTCTATACCTAAGCCCTTATTATCACCACTTGACCTACTACGTTCCGGACAACCGGGTAACATCAAGTCTATTAGAAGCTGAATATATAAACTTGTACTTTATTTTATTGCGTTATTACCTATTTTAACAGTTACCTACAGTAGCAAGCGTAATACACATTTATCATTTTAACGCTTTATAAGTACTGCTTATCTGTCCTTTTCAAGCTGCATTACTTAATTAAAAGTTATTTTTGTTTCACCCTTTTTCTTCCTAGACATTCTGATAGCATTTTACAATACAAGATTTTAACCGTTCCACATAATAAGAATCTATCGTTAGAACATGCTAGTCAGTTGTTAACTGTGACTCCAGATGGTATTCTACGTGCGAGTGATAAGTGTTCAGAGAGTGGATCAATTTGTCGAGTTACACTTCAAATTCAATCAATGCCTAATGGAAATTTAGTGAATTCAAAGTATACACATAATTTTGACAGTTCAGTAATACAGACATTAATTTTGGATGTATTGATTAAAGTGCCACGTTTTATGATGTTCTTTGTACCTCCTATTACTATTCCACAGAATGAAAGATTGTCAAAAGTAGTTGGTCTTCCTGTTGGCGGTCCATATAATATTAAAATCTCGTATCATGATGAGTTAGGGCGTGTATTCGATGCAGTTTCAAGTAGGTCCTATTTTATGATGTAATTTTTTGCTTTCTGTTGAATAGAAAAATTAATTTAATGAATTTTAGTTATCAGTCAATAGTTGTTTTTCTTTATTCTATGTTTTTAATGATGGTATTAATGTATGTGTTTGGACTTTCGACAACCAGTTAGATAAACTAACATTTAATTGTATTACTTCTAAGGTCCAGTGCTAGGAGCAAAATAAGTTGATCAGTTCCTTATAAATGATTTAGTACATAAGTAGACTGTAAAAGAGAGTAGTATTTTCAGCCTTTCTATATTAGTTGATTTATCTGGTTAGGCAAGCATTAGTCGACCGCTGAGTAGTGACTAATGTCATGTTGATGTTATCCTTAATTGCTTATCATATTCCAGGGATCAAGTTGAAATGTTGACACTAATCTAAGTGACTCACTACCACGTACTTTCGGTAGTCCGTTCTATAAAATATCCCTCTAGAGAAGTAGTATAGAACTCAGTTACTACTCCAGTATAATCCTAAACACTAAACCATTACTATGTTGGAAGGTTGTGTATAACCATATCATTTTATCACATGAAAAACCTACTCTTCCCAACAGTGGTTCTTATCTTTGATGTTAAATCATTCAGGTGCTTATGTCAATAATTCGTATCATACCACCTCATCTATCGATCAGCATTTTTTTCCTTTCGTTTTAACAATCGTTCATCAAATCTTGAAATCCTAATTCAGAACAACTTCATGCAGTATGGATCTTTAATTGTATACCATCACGTTATTATGATTTTTTAACTTGTATTTTTATTATTAGTGGCCTTATTCAATATTATATTTTTAATGCAATATAAAATTCCCAGCACAAGGTATTTCAAAAAGTTTCTTTTACAAGAAAAATGAAAGAAACTGACAACTGCATACATACATACGTACATAAGTTTAGTAGATAAACTACCTGGAATTAAATGAAATGTGTTTTTAAGATTTGAATGTTTACAGCATTTTAATTAGAAACATGTTTAAGAATACAAGTTATTGACTAGGTCAACGCTAACAACCTGTTCGTTACATAGTATATTTGCTAGATAAGGTATTGTAGAGCTTTTATGCCTTTGGTTGCGTGCATGGATTCCAATATATTGACGTTTCGTTCTACCAGAAGCTATACGAGGAGAAAGATATGAATGAAGCAAATGGTTATTATCTGACAATATAAAAACTTCTAGGAGTTCGCAAGACTTTAGACGTCTACCCACAACTATATTAATATTGACCACAAAAGATTCATCACGCACCCTGCTAACTGCCTTCAGCACTCTCCGAAATACAGCAAAGTCTTTTCTCAAAAGTCCGGGAAAGAATAATAAGTAATATACAAGAATCGACAAATTGTAAGAATAAATGTCGAGTAATCCCAAAAGTATTCAGCCTCTTTATGTAGTAAGCCGGACGGAAAACGTTCTTCGATAATAATAAAACATGAGAAGGCCAAAAGAGATCATAGGAAAGAGTTACATCAAGATAATTAACCTTTGGCACAGTGCCTATCAAAGAATCTCCAATGGTACAAGCATTATAGGATTCCAGCAGGGTGTTTAGGTTCTGTTCATGTCTCAGGCTAAAGTTAACAGTTTGACATTTAGACAGTTTGAGTGTGAGACCATTAACAACAGAACACCGTTCAATACGAGACAAAAACTCATTCATTTAAAAAGGGATGTGAAAAGGTAGAAATCGGCATACGTACAGTAAGATTGTCCGCATATTGAACAAAAGTGTTTTCTGTGGAAGATGGCAGGTCGTGCATAAAAAAGAGTAAAGAAGAGGGGAAAGGTCAACTATTTGTGGCATACCATGAGTCAGTAGAGACCTACTGACCTACTACGTTGAACAGTGTACCCTTCTCTTCCAAAGAGGTAGGAACACATCCAGTGGTTATCCAACAGTTTGTGTTGACGCTGATTAGCTTGTTAAGTAGTAGTTGTCTTGGAACAGAGTCAACAGCAGAAGCATTGTCCAGAAAAGCACATCGAACATACCACTTACCCATTTTCAAGCTGAACGTATTATGATGCAGAACGACATCAGCATCTAAGGTGCTTCTTTTGCGTTTGTAAGTAAACCGATATAAATCAGTGTGCTGTTTTAGTGCAGACTAAAGTGGGAGTATCAATAATTTTTATATTGTTTTGAAGAAGTTGAAGTTATTGCTATGGATCTAAATTTTACATTCTTATCGCCAGATACTTTCTTAAGTATACAGATTATCTTTATCTTTCTCCACATTTTCGGCGTGAGATTGGTTGAGAGGGATTTGTCAAAGGTGTTCGTGAATGAATGACATAGACTATTAGCTCACTTCTTAAAAAGGAGGTTTAGGATTTCGTCAGGTCCTAAACATTGAGACGAGTTAAGTGACTGGAGACATTCAGATACCCGTTTCAGTGAAATTTGAAACACAACTACTCTTCAAACCTGTAGATAGGAAGCATGACATCAGATGGCTGAAGTACGAAAGAGCTATTTAAGTCACAAACATTCAGCTACTTATCACTTCTGATGTGTCTTCCACTTGTAAGCTCTTTAAATGGTTCCCAAATACTTGAAGTTTTTACAATATAGGACATTAATTTCAGACATCTGATCTCTAGGTTTATTAGACCATTTAGCTTTCGAGCTTCGATGGAGTTCTCCCTCTAAATTCTTTGTTTTACCCTCCGTAATCGTTTTAGTCCTGCAGATGCAAGTCGATCAGAACGTACAAAAATGGTTTAAGTGGAACAATAGATATCAAAAAAGAATTTAAAATAAGTAATAACACCAAGGGTTTTTTTCATTGAGTCATCTGTAAATGATCGCCAGTTTGTCGTACAAAACATGTTATTCAGATTTTGTATATTTTCTTCTACGTAATTTCCTTATTTGACTTTCTTTGTCTGGTGTAAAAGTGTACTCTTTCCAATGGTAACATAAATATAATTGTATTGATTCAAGTGTTTTGTACGGCACCTTCAAATTAAACAGCCGATAAAGTCGTTTGAAAGCTTAAAACATGCAAGAGTAGATCGACATCAGTTTACGTTTACAAATGTAGCTACATCACTGCCACACCTTTTCTTATTGCTTGATCGATCCTGACGATGGACATTGAAATTTTATAGTAATACTAAGCAATCATCTTGTAAATCATTTAAGCAGGATTCTGGAATTGTGATTATACTACAATTACGATACATGTTTTGACTTAGTAGGAATTTAAAATAGTCTCCCTTGCCAATTAGTGATCGGCAGTTAGAATTCAACAGTTCAGGAATTGACATCTGATTAATGTTCATTCTTTCCAATACATATTGCCAGTCATCACGATGTCTCTGATTGTACTTTTTTGTAACTTGTGTGGTGAAAGGTCGTAAACTTTTCATAAACGCGCTTGGATAAGTTATGCGTTTAAAAGGCACAATGATGTGTTAAAACAAACAAAAACAGGTAACTTGTTGAAATATTTAGATGGGAGGAACAGGTAGCTCAGATATTCAAGCAGGTCACCGTACTATTTATTTAACGATTAAGAATCTATGTTTGTTTCATTAGTACAATATGTTTCAATTCATTCCTAATCTGGCTATTTTAATGGTAATCTAGATTATCTACTCCGGTTTAACTGTCATTTTCAGAGTTATTAATGTTAAGTTTTTATTATATTCTCACTCCTCAGTGTTTGAAGTTGTACATAGCGATCTGGTCAAGCTAACTGTAATCATTTGATGTATTCATAAATTCCTAATTGTTTATACGCTTGATTGTTTGTTTTCCAGATGATTTCTACCAATTGAAGGCATCACTTCATCGATCAGATTTGTTTTCTACCCATTTTATACGAGATTTTATAATTGAACAAAATTTTCCTGTAAATAATATAAACTCATACAACCCAATTCGTCATACTCCATTTGGTTTTAGTATACATTCTTTGCCATTTTCTAAGTCAACTAATCAAATTGAATTCATTCAAGATGAAAAAAATTCACATTGGGCTGCCTTACGTATTGGGTTATCGAATAAAATTAATGGTGTATCACCAAGTTACTTGAGTCTACCATATAGTAATTCGTTAGATCTTCTTGGTTTAACATCTTTAATAGAAGGGCAATGGATGTGTTTACCAAAGTTTTCGTCATCCACAACCCATTCAGGTAAGTCAGTGTCAATGTGTTTCTAATATTCGTTTTTATTTGTTTAGGAAAACGTGCACATTTTGTTTTACTGTTCATCACACGAGGGAATATTTGTGACAAGAATCATACTACTTACCAACTGCTTAAGTATCTTGAGTCATAATACTAAATTAATCTCAGGGATAAGGTTGTGCAGTAATAACACATTGTCTACTTCATTTGATGTAGTTTCATACCTACAATTGCTGGTCTACTCGTATTACCTGAAACTTGACAATTAAACCTAAGTATAATGACTAGTTTAAAGCGCTAGTAAGCATGCATTCATTATAGGACGTAATAGAACTTAGGATTCCATGACAACGGATTCGGTCAGTACACCTTATCCAGCTTTAATGAATTTTCTCTTTCAAAAAGCTAAACACCACTTAATACCGACCTGTAAGTAATATGTCTAATCCCTATACTTCACTAATACATTTGTTTAGAGGTCTATTTATCTCTGTAACCAATATCCATAAACATTCTAAAAAATATACCATCATATTTTACTTCTGTACATTATTTTTATGTTAGATATAACCACAACTGCGTCTATTACCAAATTAAATGTAGTCCCCAAAAAATCTGGTCATGGACAAACAACTTTTCAAGCAAACTACTTGAAGATCAAAATTGACAAAGTTTTCCACTAGGAGATTCAATAGTTAACCTCCAAGATTCATTTCTTTCTCATACAAATATATTCTGTTTGAGCGCTAAAATTACTACTATACATGTATTGTTATACTTTAGTATGATTACACCATTGGCATTCTCCTGTTTTTTTTTATAAATTTAGATAATACTTGGTCTTCAGTTGACCCATCGATCATATGGATTGATCCATTAAATCAAATAATTTTAGCACGTCATTCCGGTCAAGGAGTATTAACATTTTCTTTAACATCTTCATTAAAAACTTATCAACAAATTGAAACAATAAAAAATACAACTTATTCAAATATCAAGAGTGAACCACTTACTTATTTACTTAATGTACAAGTTATTCCACTTGAATTATATACATCTGGTATACCGTCTGCAGGTCTAATATTTGTTGATTCTGGAAATAATGTACTACAAAGTGAATCTATCATATTTCCTATTGGAGTTGATCGTCCATCACGAAGTGAATCATTTCTATCAATGTTACGTTTTCTTATTCAACTACCTATCAAAGAAAGGTTTGTTTTAAAAAGAGAAAAAAATTTCTATCTTGTCTTTGTAATTAATCACGTTATATTAATTAAACGTTTTATGTTTTCTTTACTCTATCATGAATTTAAAATTCAGTTACAGTTAACTGCTTTTACTAAACAAATTGGATTGCATTATTCTATGAAAGTATATATTTCATTCGACCTTCTCTCAACCACTTTATATTCAGTGAAGTTGCATTCATTAAAAAAATAATCATAATTTGACAATGAGTATGTCTTAGTCATTGAAATTGCGTGTAGTAATCTAAAGTCTGGCATCCTTATCATGTTTATTAGAATAGGACTTAGATTTAATCCAAAAGAGTTGACTATGTAAATTCATTGAACTGTCGTGTTAAATATTTCATAATTCTATTCAATTAATCAGTTGATATTAACGTATAATGAGAAAGATTTAGTTGTTTAAAGTTAGTCAATTTAATTATATCAAGTTATGTATTGATCTGAATATGATTTGCCAATTTTTCTTTCTGGTAACTCTTTTCCCACATCCATTTAATTTTGATTGAATATACGATTAGCTCAATGATATTATGTCAGATTAAATTATGTGAAAATAATGTTAAGAACTATCGCAATCTTTACATTAATGACGAAAAAGATTTTTTTGACGAATATCATTCTTTAGATTGCTCACCTCTCATCTAATTGTAACAAGGATATCAGTGATTCAATATATTTTATTGCTAGATGATAGGTGTAGAAGATAAATTGAATACTTTCGTTAGTGCTTTCTCCAATAAATTCTATCTTTTTGCCTACTACACAACATGTATATTACTTTATTTCTTATCTTCAAAGTGTAATGTCATTAATTTCTAGATTATTCATGAATAATGAGTTGATAGATTTTTATTAGATTTACAATCTTCATGGAGGTTAAAGTGCATTATATAACCTTATTCTTAGCACTATTAAAGTTTATATCAGCTATCAGTTAATCAAACATAATTGACGTAGGACGTGACTCAAGCGCTCACATAAGCTTAAGTTTTCACTCCACATCTTCACAAAAAATGATATTAACAAAATACTTAGCATATAAAAAAGTCGAAATATTGGCAATGAGAATATGAACTTAATATGGCGAAGAAATATGTTTATAAGATAAGAGTATGAAATAATCTTAAAATTCAGAAGTCAAAAGAAGATAATTGATGAATAGTGCATACTCGAATCATCGGGATCAATTTCGAGCTTTGTTCCTAAACATCTCCAACCATTGATAGTGAATTATTCTACTAATGGTTAAAGCCCTCAACTTTCAATCATAAGATCCTATGTTGAGATTCTACTTTGCCTACTTTTATTCGAACTGTCTAATAGTATAACTAGCCCCACTATAAACAATATATGACTAAGTGGATAAATTTTAGTAAACATATAGTCTTCGTGTAATATCCTTTTTCAATGTTCAAGCCTAAAACATACTTTAATATGTTTTAGTTACTAAATGCTTCCTAAACCTAAGAATTTAACAATAATTGTTCTAAATGGAAATATCGTTATAATAATTTGTGATATTCTTTTACAGCAATGATATTCCATGTTCTAAAACATCTGGATCACTTTTAACATTTGAAAATTTTGCTCCATTCAAATGTCAAATTCAATTACAAATAGATGATGAATTTCATATTGATTTTAATTATCGTTCAAGTCTATTACCAAATTGGTTCTCACATTTACTTCTTTGGGAGCATAATGAAACTACTGAATCAATTCTTGAGTTAGAATCTGCTAAATTTTCACTACAACGACATATTACAACTCAACTAGAACCTTTGTCACAATCCTCACCATTCCATACAAGTTCTACACAATGGCAGTGTGTTGTAAAATCTCCTACAACATGGTCGTTGAATGTTGATGCTATTGCCCTTACACTGATGCCTAAAACACGAATGGTTTTACAATTGGTTAAAACCCATTTATCTGGTAATATTGAACAGGGAGAAAATTCATCATTGATTGCTGAAACATCGTTACTTCCTTTACCAGGCATTAGGATGCTTATTCCTCCCGCTGTTAAACTACAAGAAGATAGTCACATGTCTGCGTCTAAAGATTGTAAGTATTTATTCTTTTTTCTGTATTATATTTAAGTGACAAGTTGTTCCCAATTTTTCAAGTTAATTTTAGTTCAATTTCGGACAATACAAAATTAAACACAAATGTGTATTTATTCAGGATTTTAACTGTTACACTGGTGGTGAGATCAACTCAAATGAGAGGCAGAAAAGAGAAAATAACAATATCCATATCAGTAAACACTAGATCTAAATTTCAGGCACATACTTGTCTTTAAGACTAGATTTAAATTGAATCCAGTCACACGACTATGACCAATCTCGTATTAGGTTGCCTATGGTCTCCAACGATTGTCACTCAAATCCCAACCAGTGGGTCTGCATTTTGTTTCCTTTCTCAAATTAAGTTATTGTCTTCATGGGCTAATCTCATATCTTGGTTTTTATTCATTCAGCATTTTCCCAGCTTACTGTTATCCTAGCCACCTTTATATATCAGAGTAGTTGGCCATTGAGCCTGTTGTGACACATAGTTCAATCCTCTTAGCTAATTTTTTTTAGTGTCGTTGATCGGCGTTGATGTTTTGTGAACATTTTATATCTTTCCACGAAGTTTAATGTCACGTAATCGCATTTAATTCTTGATCTTTTTTAAAAATAATGTCTATGCTAATCATGTATATGACTTCATGAATTGTAACATAATCCCATTAAACTGAAATAAACTAATTAATCACTGTTATTTCTATAGAATGAAGTTTTGTTTTTTGTATTTTCTATTGTTACATGTTTCATTTTATTAACTTTATTCAATCTACCTGAGTTTGTGTATTCAATAGTTATCAGATATGATGCTAAATGCTAACCAAATAAAAAAATTTCAATGACGAATGAAAATATCACAAGTGATAAGGTATTCAAAATTAAATGTTGTAACTAGACATTACTATGAGTAAGTGATCAAGTCATTGTCAAGAATATGTTACATGTATACGATTTAAAAAGTTTTCTGAGAATAGACTATCTGGTTGATCTATTCATATAAATGCAAGTACCATGTACTTGTCTTTCATTTATTATGCATTAACATTGTTAAATACATAATTTTAAAGATTGCTGATGTCCAGCTTATCGCTACAAATCTTTCGATAATATGTTTTCTAGTTGTGTCAACATGATACTAATAAGCTTTTACTACCCTCCTGAAATTTAATATTGTTAGTGAAGTTATTTGCGTTAGATTATATCCATCCATTCATTTTTGTTGTTGATGTTGAAAATCTATCATTTTATATATTCGTACATTATTTCTGTTGGAAATTCTTGTTAATCAAAACATTTTTTTGACATCCATCACTATGATATCTGTAGAGTTTGTTTTCTTGTCTTATTTTAGCTTACCAGTTTTGGATTACCGAAACGGATCATTTTACTAGACGACTATTGATTTTCATTCCGCCAGCCACTTCATTTGCATTGAATATGCAAGAATTAGGACCGGACAAACTGTTAGTTAGATCACAATTCCCTGAAATTTTAGAAATTGTTCAATCACCAAGACCTGTTCAAAGTTTACTTGAAGTTGTGGATATTTACAAAGAATATAGTCGAAGTTTTTCTTCTTCACTAGCTTCCACTACATTAGCATCATATCCTAGCACTGTGACAACGGAATTATCTCATTGGCTTCATGTAGTTCACGAACAGATTGGCAAGATTGAAGATGATGTAGTATCGGATTTAAATCCATCCATATTAAAACACAAAGTTTTATGGCTAGTACAAGTGAGATGTATCCCTGGTGACTCTCGTAAGTTGTTTTCTTTCTGCCTTCTCTACTACTTTTTAAAGGTGCCTCCCGGTTTTATTTACTTTCAGATATATTGTTATTTCCATTTGTTAATATCACTTATTCAATTGTCAGTTGCTAACACTTTATACACTAAACAAACATTGATGTCATTTCCATGAACAGTTTCTAACTAATCGATGTTGTTCAGTAAAAAAAGTAGTCATCAATATTCCTTATCACTGATTTCATTTCTAATGTAGTTTCATGATTCAGCGTTTGCGTCTGTTGTTTCTGAATTAATATCTCATATATAATTTATCTAATTGTATGAATATAAGATCACATACAAACTACACTCATACTTTCATGACTATCTTATTGATTACTTGGTAAAACAGGAAAATCATACTCTAACACTCAATTTCCAAAATGTTCATTAATTGTCTCATACTTCATTGTTCCTAAATTTCCATACTAATTACTTTCTATTCCCTTCTCAATCTTCTGCTGCCAGACATTATATTCCTGACTCGCGTTACATACTACTTATGTTAATATAAGTAGCACCCATCACACTTGTCCTTAGGATTCTTGTAAATCCTCAGTTCATGTATACTAAAATTTTCGCATGAGTTTGCATTAAGATCATCAGTTGTGTTTATGATTAGGTAGGAATTTTTGTTTCTGATAACGAATCAACTTTTGATTAATAAGATATTTGATGAAGATAATTTTCGGCATTAAAACGAACCGTGTTAGACTGATTTAAGAAAATAGAACTACTGAACTTTGTAGATATATATTGAAATATCGAAGTTATTATTTATGAACAAAATACTGTTGACTATGGAATATTTGTCAGTTATAGACTATATCCTTTAAACTATTAGTTTAAGAGATAATTTACAACACATACTATAAGTCTTAGAATACTAGGCATCTGTGTCAAAAAGGTACTACTAATTAACGAAAATGAATTAAGCGCTCTGCATGCAAAATAGGCAGGATGTTCTGAATAATCATTCTCAATAAATAACATACATAATCGAGATGAAGCAATTGAAAATGGATGAAAGTAACATTACGAATAAGAAAATGGGTTAACACAGTGAATAAGTATATAGATGTTTAGGCTTATCCAGTAAATTACAGTAGGGAAACATTTAACGTTATAAGTTTTAAAAAATATCTGGTAATAACAAACGTATCAATACCAAGATTGAAATTGATAGTTTCATATAAATTGAGCCTTGAATTGAAAGTTAATAATAGTAAAAAATATTTTTTGTGGTATCCTTATGAGTAGAAATTTCTATTTCTGACGTTCCATGACTTGATGTAAACCACTTCTTCAAATATCCTAAGAATAATTATCTAATTATTATCAACTATTGAATGTTATTAAGTAGTATAATGTAACATACAAAAATGAATGAACAAGGAAGAAATGGAAAATATGAAGATTAAAGACAATAATGTTCTTAGTAAATAAAAAATAGATAACTAAGAAATAAGATACTCCTAAAACTCATTGTACATTTGGTAATACAAATAAAAGTAAATCTCTTTTACCCTAACATTTTCATGAAGTTGTTTAACAGTTAAAATACTCAGTCAGTCAGTTACAACGTAGGACCAGGCACATACATGCATCGGTCCAAGTTGCCACACCTCATTAGCACAACAAGATGAACACCGAGTTCATAGAAACAGTTAACTCAATGGTGTAATACATAAAGGAAAGAATTTATCTAAGGATATAGTACTCAGCTTGAAACCATCAAGCTCCCTAACTTTTAACTTCATTCCACTTACTCCAGCTCTACCAATTTGTAAGTATCATTAACCATTGCATACTGAAAAATAAATTTGAATATTGTGTACATAAATCTGTACTTGGTAAATAAGTTACATTATTATTTATGTATTTATTAAGTTTTGTTCTGTTTTGTTATCCATATAATTTTCCTCACTTTTTTATGATCTAAAGCTATTGATACTCTGGTGAATGTTGTGTTAAGCCTTCGTTCAACTGGTCAACATATTGAAATTCCTGTACGAATTAATCTACCATCATTAAATCAATTAAATAACAAAGAAATAACAAGTTCAAAACCATCGTTCTACTTATTAAATTTCTCTTGGATTCATCTTTTTGCTATGATTATAATTACATTGTTTATTGCGATTATCAGTAAGTTGTTTAATTGATAAATATACTTTTTTTATATTTTATACACCGTTATTTTCGTTCATTATTCATATTTAAACAAAAAATCACATAGTGATAATAAGATTATCAATAGGAAAGTATAAAAGATATTTGCCCGCTTGACAAAACAGAGAGGTAATAATCACTTTTTTTGCCAATAAAAAAAAGTTAAGAATAGAAATTAATACCTTGGTAAGATGATGGATTGTACATGTCACTTATGTAAACACTAATAATTTAAGGGTTTGAACTGATAAATTACTAAAGGTAGTTTTGTTTGTTTCTTTTCTTTAGATTTGAATCCATCCTATTTATTCAAATTTTATAACTTCTGTAAAAAGTTGATATTTGAATAGAATGAAAACGTCTTGTTTTTTTTCTTTCATTAGTTTTAAAATAATCATTGGATTGTAAGATTAATTGAATAAACATTATCATGAATATTGATGAAGTTATCTTCTAAGCTTACAGTTTAAACATAGATTTATATACTTTTCATATCCTTTGTAAAATAAATAATGCTGAAGATTTTCACAATAGGACGAAACGGCCATCCAGTGCTTCTAGATTTTCAGTGGTGGTCTAGCTTCAATTGATTGATGGTCTCAAATATTGAAATAAATAATTGATCAATGTCTAGTACACAGATCTATAGCTTATCATTTAGTTTATTAGTTTAGTATATATTTAAACTGTTTAATTTTTCTTTTTTGTTTTAATCATATTTTGTTGGTTAATATGTCTTATCAATTATTTTCAATTGATTGTAATCTGTTTATATTTCTATTTTAATCTTTTTTCCTTTTTCTGTAGTACATATTATATTGCGCAGTGAGACGTTAATAAGTACTTCGAACAACTCAAACATTGGAAAATATTCACCCGGTCCTCTACCTTCATTAGTCAAAGGAGGATTAAGTCGATCACCTCCTGGTCGACAACTGTGGAGTCAAAGTTTTATTCCTGGTGGAAGTCCTAATACAATGCGTCAACCATTTTTAACATTTGATGGTCTACGTCCATCGAATGTTTCATCATCTCCAATCCATCCACAAAATCTTTCCCCAAACACATCATATAATAATGCTCAACGTATCTCTCCTAGATTTAATCTTGGTACAAGCGGTGATCTAGTTAATGATGAAAGAAGATGGCGTCAAGCTCTTAGTGGTAGTACCAATCGTTTAAGAGATAGTTTTGATGGATAAATCATTTTTCTGTTCATATTTTTTATCGTAGTGTGTTATAAATATTTTGTTTCGATCATAACATTCCTGTCAAAAATTCCACTTAGAATAAACATTTTTCATCCTTGTTAATCTGGTTTCTTGTTTCTGGATATTGCGCTTTCTTCGAAGGCTCTGATAAAAGCATTTATCTGTAGATCATATCTAAACTGACTATATATCCATTTTCAGAATTCAGTCCACTTTCTACTATTGTCCCTAGGTTTTTTCCTCCGCTATCTTGATGTTATATTTTTGAAAACAAACTTATAAATCATGTCATTTGTTTTCTGTATTAAATACATACTGGTATTAGTTTTTTTGTTAATAGTTTCATATTCAATATACGTCGTTGAATTAATAGTGTCTATTCTAGTCATTTTAGTGATTGTCTCCTGTGTTCAGTATACTCTCATTTTAGAGAAATCTGGACGAAGCTCTGAACTTAGTCTTCGTGCTAGTTAGCACTCCGCACCACAAGATATTTGTAATCTTAGAGTAATTGATACTACCCTTGAAAGGGTGATCCACGTCATTTAGTGTCTGTAAGAGATAACATCTCCAGGGTTCCTTATCGATTGCTTACAATAAAAAACTACGCAAGATTGTGCTTAGCAACGTTGATTTACTTAGATTAGTGACTACATTACAACTTAACTGACAGAATTCTATCACCACTAAGGACCACACAAATATGACATTGATTAGTAATTCATGATCAATTAGTCTAAAATGTTCTCATATTACTTGAGTTAAACTGTTATCTGCTTAAAATCCAATACCATTCTTGCTTATGAATTGGTCTGAAAAACAGTCGAATAAGCTCATATAGCCAATAAACAGTTATATTCACACGTAACTATAGATATCAACAATATCATTTGTTGGGAATTCATGAAGATTGTAATGCTTCCTTCTGTTGTAACAAGAAAAGCTGGAAATACTTGTTTTCTTTATCACTATATGAATTATTCTTTATAGTCCGTAGGTCATTCTATTTAGTCATATATCATTTGCTTTCCTTTATATCTTGTTTTATTACTTTATAATTCGTAATAAGTTCACTTTCTGTGTAAATCACACAAATTTATGGATTTGCTTGATTCTCAGTTACTTCACGGAAAGAGAAAGAGTGTGTGTGAGAAAATAACTCTCTACTACAGAAATTTTCATTTTCTACACTTTTCAATTTGTTATGTAATATTTTAACAGTATATTTTGTATTCATATGTGAGAAAGACAAAACTTTTATATATCAACTCACTAATTCCATGTTTATTACGTAATTATATACAAAGATTGATAAGACATTATTTCAACGTAGAAAAATAATCTGTCAACCATTGATAATAAATTAATTATAGTTGAAATATTAGTTGATTACAAAAAAAAAGATGTAATTTAAAAGTTTCTTGTCACGAAAAAATAAAAAAATGTTTCTCACATTAGTAAATAGAATCAGAAACAAAATAGTTCTCTATTACCTCTTTAGTTTCTTTCATTGTTTTTTAGTGAATATAAATGAAGCTGATTTTTGAAATTCTATCAAGATTGTTTCATTAGTCTAATCATTGTACTGTGAGTTAATTTATCACATTAAACATTCTTATTATGCCTGTTTCACCCTATTCGGAATCCATCTATTTTCTTAATGATTTCATTTATATACAGGGTTATTAGGCTATTATTGAAATTCTTTAAAAGAACATTTAAGTGCATATGGTTTCAAACTGAAATATTTTTTAATATTTAAGGAATTTCATATTGGTGAGTCAAAGTTATTTAAGGTTAAGTGATTTAACAATTACAAAATAAAATTTCTACTAAAATTACAACCTCGAATGTTTCAGGTTAATTTTTTTAACAGGGTTGTATAGGAAATCATCTGAAAATAAAGATCCCTAGCAAGTGCATAATTATTAACATTTTCTTACTGTTAGCTAAAATCGAAAAACTTTGTTTTGATTGATTTTGAAACTAGTTATAATGAATTAAGTTTAATTTATTCTCTTGATTCTTTATTCTAAGTGTTGGCAGTTCTAAACTGTTCTATGAAAATAATCGATTGTATTAGAATGAACAATTATATCATTTCAAACTATATATAATAACTGGGTTATTCAGTAAAGATTTCAAACAAATGCACGAAATGTAGTTGAATAAAACAAAATGTCGATTGTAACATATGTTAATAACAGCTACTGAACTTACCTACTTACGCCATTTACCCCTCGTAGAGGAGCATAGACTGCTCATCAACATTCTCTATCCAACTCTGTCTTGTACAATCCTTCCTAGTTGTTTCTATTTGCTATTCATTCTTTTCATGTCTACTTCCGATTCCCAAAGCAATATGTACTTAGTCTTCCATTTTTCGGTTTTCCTTCATGATTCCAATTTAGAGCTTGTCTCGTGATACAGTTTGTTGATTTCCACCATGTGTGTCCAATCAACCTCCAACGTCTTTTTCTAATTCATTCTTCATTTGGAATCTGTTTTGTTTTTTCTCATGGTGAGTTGTTGCTGGTAGTATCCAGTCAATGGACATTGATTATCTTGTGTAGACGATTGTTTATAGATACCCGTACATTTTTGATGATGGTTGTGGTAATTCTCGACGTTTTATTTCCGTACAGTAAGACTGTCTTGACGTTCGTATTGAAGATTCTGACTTTGACAATGTCTTGCAGACAATTGTTTTGAGTTCCATATGTTCTTTAACGATAGGAATGCGGCCCTTGTTTTGCGAATCCTCTCCTTTACGTTTACATGGGATCATCCTTGTTCATTGATGATGCTTCCCAGGTAAGTGAAAGATTCTACATCTTTTTGAGCTTCTCCATCAAGTGTGATTGCGTTGGTGTTCTTTATGATGTATTTGGGGATCTTGGTTTTTCCCTTATGTATGTTGGGGCTAACTGCTATTACAGTAGTTGTCTTCATCTTCATTTATTGATATGTATGGGATAGAAGGGCCAAGTCCATATCGTCTAGTTGGTTTCGAGCTGTCTCTTGTATTCCGTGCTTCCCCTAAAATATGTAGGTCTTCATAATCCAGTCATACACATAGTTGATTCTAATTTTTAGTAAGTTGATCTCGTAATAATCCGGTAAGTAGTATGTTATAATAATGTATATATTTAAAGAAAGAAGTATTTTAACATTTATTTCAAGGTAATAGGTTTACCACTGAGATTTTTAAGGATGGCGGTCCAGTATTAGCAGCGAGATTGACTGAGGTCTTAGGTAGAATATAGGAACTGGACGTAATCCGATCTGTTTGGTCTCAATCACTGATTGTGCTAGTTTATAAGAAAGGACAAAAGTCCTCTTATGACAATTACAGAGGAATTAGTTTGACTAATATAGTGTCTAAAATATTAGCTTCAATAATACTTCGACGCCTAACCAAAGCTCGTGAAGAGCAGACTAGAGAAAACCAGCCTCGTTTTCGACCTGGACGTGGTTGTATAGATCAGATATTCACATTACGTCAGGTCCTAGAACATAGACACACATTCAGACGCCCCACAATCGTAGTGTTTGTCGATCTTAAGGCGGCATTTGACTCTGTTGATCGTGAGGTTCTATGGCAGTATTTGTCACTGAATGGAGTACCAAAGAAGTACATTAACCTTATAAAGGCTCTCTACTCGAACACAACTGGTCGAGTGAGAGCTTATGGCGAACTGTCATCAGAACTGATTACCTCAAGTGGTGTTCGTCAGGGCTGTCCACTCTCCATTCTTGATTAACTTTGTTGTTGACGTTCTTTTAGAGATGACACTTTCCTCATCTAAATTTCCAGGAGTTGAACTTCTACCGGGAGATCCACTTGTTGACTTAGAATATGCCGATGACATAGTTCTATTTAGTGAAGACGCTGACAAAATACAGAGTCTGTTGACCACTTTAAGCAACAATGCAGGCATGTTCGGGATGTGATTTTCTCCCTCGAAATCCAAAGTGTTGCTTCAGGATTGGGTTGTATCGACACCCGAACTAGGGATAGGGAGTGAAGTAGTTGAGCGTGTCGATCGCTTCACTTATCTCGGAAGTCTCATCAGCCCTTGTGGTTTGGTGTGTGACGAAATCTCAGCACGGATACAAAAGGCTCGACTAGCTTTTGCCAACTTGCGTCATTTGTGGCGTAGGCGAGATATCCGTCTATCAAACAAAGGACGTGTTTACTGCGCAGCAGTTCGTTCCGTCCTACTTTATGGCAGTGAAACATGGCCAGTAAGAGTATAGGATATTCGTAGGTTACTAGTATTTGACCACAGGTGTCTTCGAAACATCGCTCGTATATCCTGGGACCACCGAGTAAGTAATGCAGTTGTTATGAAACGGGTACTAAGTAAGGATGGCAAATCAATTGAGGAAGTAGTGAAACTTAATCAGTTGAGATGGCTGGGACATGTGTTGCGCATGCCCGAACACCGATTGCCCCGACGTGCGATTTTTTCTGGTGTAGGAGTAGGTTGGAAGAAAGCTAGGGGCGGGCAAACCAAAACATGACACAAATCCATGAAGTCACTGACAAGTGGACTGAGCCATGTTGGTAGGTGTAGACTACCTGGTTGGGGTCCGCGAGATGATAGCAACCGATGGTTAGAGACTTCGAATGACATGGTTCAAAATCGTTTGCAATGGCGCAGGTGCATCCACTCTCTGTGTTCTCTCAAACTCCAGTTTTCTGAATTCTTCATGTCCTTTATTTTCTTCTGAAATATATTCTACTGGACTATACTCCTTAAATAACATCTACAAACCCTAATGTTTCTGATTACTACTTATACTTTCACTACCTCTACCACTACGGGATTTGAATCGATAACAGAATCTCTGTGCTAATGTGGTATGGCAACTCGAACTGATGTACGTACGTTCGAATTTACACGTTGTTACTGACTGACTATTAAATTCTTACTCTGAATTTTCGGTGAGAGATGATTCGTTCCATAAATTTGCCGATTTTCTTCCCATTCATGATTAAATCATTTATCTGTCCTATTGTTCTACGTTGTGCCTTTGACATCAGGTTAAATGAATTCGCACAAATTTTCGTGTAGTCTGAAAATAATTTTCATCTTCAAATTCATATCAACTGAAAGCCACAGATCACTGATTATTTTCCCGTCTGTGGTCACAACAGTTTACACGGTATCGAACTCAGAATATTTAGGTATCATGTCAAATACCATATATTTACATGTAGTTGAAATTCACTGGTCTTCATTCTTCACTGAATTACAACCTCAATTAGCATCCTTTTGACATATTATTACCTAATCAGTGTTGAGGTTTTTTTCCCGAATCATCAAGATTCACTTAAAAACGAAATATGACTCTTAGCCAATT